TAGCTCCTGGATTCTAGCTTGAAGCAACTCTTTACCATTCTAAAAATGTTATTCCCTCAGGCTGTGCCTCTCTGGGGCCCTGCTTTCTCTCCTGGGCCTGGCCCAGCTGAAGGGGTAGGAGTTTGGAACTGGCAGCAGGGGAGGATCATTTAATCAAGAACTATTTAAACTGTTTGCTGGACTTCATTTACCATTATGATGGGACATAAAATTTTAAGGGCTTTCACCAAAAAAATCTATGATCCAGCTCTGTACAAGTTATAATAAATCTGCAAAGAGGGAATTCATCATCTCTCAATAAATGTGTCTCTTCCGCACTATCTTCTGAAAACGCAAAAATCCCAGATATAAATCTCAGCCTCGGGCTTCATTTTCCCTCCTCAGGGGGAAGGTGTTTCAGACTCTGACATGGAGGCACCCGCTCCTCCCTGTCTCCAGTGCCACCGCCTCCCTCCCTTTCTCTGGCTCACAGCCTCTGCTCTCTTCATCCTGGCAAGCCCCCAATGCTCTTGAGAAGCTTCAGCCATGCAGGACCTCAGTTTCCTCATCTGGGGAATAAGGAGGGTTGATGGCAAGACCTGGAGGTCTCCTTCTTATTGCAGTGACCCCCCGGTGGGACCCAGCCTGCAGCGGCCTTCAGAGGCTTGTTAAGTGGAAGCTCAGGGTTGAGGAAGTGATGCCGGACAAAGATGTGAGGAAGAAGCTTTTGAGGGCAACTCAAGTCAATCCTGAGGTAGGCAGGGATCACGAAGCACAGACCTTGTTACATGGGACAGCGGGGGTAAAACTTGAAAAGATGCTGAGTGAAAGAATGTCCCCAAAAGGACAAATACCGTGTGATTACCTTTATATGAAATGTCCACAGGCACAGCCATGGAGAGAGAAAGTAGATGAGTGGTTGCCAGGGCCTGAGGGGAACAGGATATTGGGACTGACTGCTAATGAGAACAGTTTCTTTGGGGGATGATGGAAATAGTGGTAATGATTGCAGAACATAATGTATATGATGTAAAGCACTGAAATGTACACTTAAAAATGATGAATTTACAGCCCATGCATTAGACCTCAGTTAAAAATATATAGCTATCTCTCTCACTTACCAACTTAACATTTCCCTGTATGGCCCCGTAAGATGACTGGTTAGCCAGAGACGGGTAAGATTCCTCAAGGGAGGAACAACCTAAGACAGGCACAGTCGCAGGGGGGCCATCAGGTGAGAAATTGGGGATCAACAGAGGTGAGGCTTAGAACCTCTCCCCACTGTTCTGAGAGAAATCTGCTGCATACGTGGATGTTTTATTGCCCTTTTCTAGCTTGGATTAACACACAGTCTACAGGCACACACCTGATTATCTACAGTTGCTCTCTTACAACACTAAACTGTGTTTTCTACCTTTATCTTCACTTCAGCATTTTATTAAAAATAATAATAAAGAGAGAAATGTGGTATCCACATATAAATCAAGTATAAAAATCAAATGAATATTCATATTTGAACTGACTGTTTATAGTCCATAATGCATGATCAAAACCAAAAGCTTCTGTGCTGACTGCCCTTGTAAGGTTCACCATGCAACTTATTCACTATGTAAGAATTTGTTCTCCATGTAAGAACTTGTTCGTTATGCTTCAGAAGATTGTAGACTGACGAGAATTAGGCTTGAGATGGATTAATGATTGTACATTGAGCGTTGACCCCCCTATACTGAATTTTATTGTTGTTAACAACCATTTGATCAATAAATATGAGAGATGCCCTCTCAAAAANATAAGGAATATAGTCAAAATATTGTAACAACTTGGTATGGTGATAGCTGGTACCTAGAATTATCATGTATATAAATGTTGAATCACTGTGTTGTACACCTGAAACTAATGTAATACTGTGTGTCAACTACCCTTCAATAAAAAATACTTATCTAAAAAAAAATATATATATATAGCTAATAAAAATCTGCACACGTTGGCCTGCCTGCCTCAGTGGGACAGAGGGAGCTCAGCCAGCCGAAGTAAGGGTGGAAAGTGCCACTGACCTGTTGCAGAAGAGAGCAGCCATTCAGGCTTCCCAGCCCAGGAGGTCTCTCCCCTCTGAGTAGGTCTCCTGTCTAGGATAGAAAGCCTGACCAGGGTTCTCTGCCCAGGAGGCCCAGGTCCAAATCCTAGAAGCAGCAGTTCTCAAGGTGTGATACCAGGATCACCAGCATCAGTACTAACTGGAAGCCTTGTTAAAAAAGCACACCCCTGAGTCCCATCCCAGACCAAACGTACTGGATTTTAATTTTAACAAGCTCTCTAGATTGTTCTCTTGCATTGTAAAGTTTGAAAAATATTTAAGCTACTTTCCAAACTCTAAAGGGCATACAAATCACCTGGAGATCTTAATAAAATGTAGACAATTCTGATTCAGTGGGTCTGGGACAGGGCCTGAGGTTTTGCACTCCTCATAAGCTCTCAGGCCATGCTCCTGTTACTGGTACACAGACCCCAGTTTGAGTAGCAAGGAGTAGAAGAACTTCTTAGCCTCAGCTGCATGTTGTAATCACCTGAGAACCTTTAAAAATCACCGAGGCCTGGGTCTCACCCTCTGAGACTCTGAATTGGTCTCGGGATCAGTTTGTATTGTAAAACTTTCCTCCAGATGATTATAATATGGAGCCATGGTTGCAAGCCGCTGATGTAGGAGGGGAATGAAGTTCTAAGCAGGTGTCCAGGTAGATGAAGGCATGGAAATCCAGGGGGAACAAACGTCTATGGATAGGGTCCGTGCAGAAGGGCAAGAACTGCTTTAACTCAGGAAGGTGCCCACGTCTCACCCTGGAGGCTGAGAATGTTCACGTGATGCAAGAGTGACTGTCTCCAAGCCCAGCAGATGGGGGAAGCAGAGCATTCCTGCCAGCGTCCTGCCTCCGTCCTGCATGGTTCAGAGCCTGGGCTGAAAATGTGGCCCATCAGAATATCCAGGTCAAGGAAGCTATGCAGACAAAGGCAGGAACCCACTGTCTCCTACCTTATGCAGAATTTCTCAAGTTTTGGAACAACCTTAAATCCAAGGAGCCACATTGCCAGGGAGGCTTTAGGGGGGAGCATCAACAGAGTGTCATCTCCTTGACTCCCCCTGTACCTCTGGCCACCCTGCACTGGTCCAAGCAGCAGCAGCAACTGGTTTCGATGGGAGAAGATTGAGGAATGGAGACCTCCACACCTGTCCAGGCTTGCATAGGGGGACTCTCAACTTTTGGGGAAAGCCATGCAGTCCAGAAAGAAGATGTGGAGAGCAGGGAACTACAAGGGCTGCTTGCCAGGAAGCCAGAGACAGATGTCAAAAGCAACACACAGGCACGTTGGCAAGATTGTGCCCAAGCTGCATAGAGCAGAAACACAGGCCATAATTCAGCAGGAAATAAAAATGTGTCTGTAATTAATGATCCTCTAGGAACACACGGCCCTTATTAATGTAGCAATTTGGAGAAACATAATTTACTAGACGTTAGGCTTGAATTGCCAGAATGGTTTTTTAACTGGAGGAGGGCTCAGGGAGAGCAGGAAGTGGAGGAGGAGAAAACAGCAACGATGGGCTCCCAGGAGGGCCGAGGCTGGGCCCTAGGGGAGGGCAGGGGCTGGCTGGGAAACCACACTGACGGGCTGGGACACTGAAGAGAGGTGCCCGACTTCTCACCATGGCCAGTGCCCCCACCTCCACACTGTTTTCACAGAAACAACTTGTGTAGGGAGTGGAGTCACAGAGCCTTGTTCATACCCAGGCTCTTCCCCTGTGCTGGGTGGCCTTGTCTGGGTGGCTTGATGTCTCTCTGTGACTCAGTTTGCTCATCGGTAAAAAGGGGTGTAATAATTTGCACCTACTCATAGAATTAAATAAAGTGCTTTTGCACAGGGCCTGGCACATAGTAAGCACTAAATAAATAGTTTTTATTACCATTGGCAGATTTCATCTGTGCATCAACAGGAAGGATGATAGTAGCATGGGGTCCAGTGAGGTTTTCTCTAGAAACCCCTTGCTAAGCTACTGCCCAACCAGCTGGGTGAGCAAGAGGGTCTTTTGACAAAAGAGGAAAAAGCAAAGCAGAAATGGCCAGTGTCCCACTTAGCACACAAGTTGGATTCAATGACTTTTAATCAGAGATACTTCTAATCAGAGAAACAGAGTGAGAGAACATTAGGATGCGCCAGCTACCAGCAAGCTGTGTAAGGCTGAACTGGTGAAACAGCCATCGGAAAAGTGCTGTTCAAACAAGCTTTCTCATCTGAAAAATAACTCACCACACAGTTTCTAAGGACCTGTGTAGTCTAACTTTGTTTTTTTGTTTTTTTAATTCTATGCCTAAAAGAAAGAATAGCACACAGGCTGAGTAAACTTTGAGGACTAGCCCAGGGAAAACTGAGGCTGTCCAATGATTCTTACGTCCTCACAGGCAAACTGCTGGAACTGCGGTCCAGACACAGCCACGTTATCTGGATGTGGAATGCACCTCCACCCGGCTCCTGACCTGCTGTGCCAGGAAGTCTTAGAGAAGAAGTCGTATTTCCAAGCCCTGCCTCTCCTGAGCCCCATGCACGGGTCTGTATGGTCCCAAATGACACCAACTCGGGCCTTTCCTCCATTCATTTTCACTTCTCTCTTCTGTGTCATCAAATGCTCTTACTGGCTTCGTGCTTTCAGCTTATCAGCGCACTGAAATCTGCCTTATCCTAACACAAGTGAACAGAGAACCACTCCCTGGTTTTGCTCATCTAGAGCTTTCCTTTCTCTGGCAGGCAAGCATCTGGAGAAATAATCGGCACTGGCTGTCTCCATTCCTCATCCCAGCCACTTCCAGAGCCATCGCCCGGGCTTCAGCCGCTGCCGTTCCGCGGAGACCACTCTGACCACATCCATCATCAGCATCCCTATTGCCAACTCCAAGGTGTACTTTCCATTACTTACCTTAACACGGGGCTGGTTTTAAAAGGCCGGCCACTCCCCTTGTTGTTTTGGAACTTACCTTCTGTCCTTTGCAAGGCACAGGCCCCTCCCGGGTCTTCTGCTTCTCTGACTGCTCATGACCCGGCGCCGGACCATCCTCCAGCACCCCCACCTTAACTGTGCACGTCATCTAGGATGCTGCCCGTGTCCACCTCCTCCACTTTTACATCCTCTTCTTACAAGATATCACTCATTCCCATTGTTTTCACAAACATCTAGGTACTCATTCCTTCCAAAGCCGACTCTCCTAAGATCAAAAACATACAAAGGAGAAAAGTTGTAAACTCACATACTCCATGTCTTGTATGAATTTCCCATAGAAACCTCAAATACATCCCTGAAAGCCATCTCACCATTATCACCTCCACCCCTGCTCAGCCTTCTCGTCCTCCGGCACGCCCTGTATTTGATGGATTATCCCTAGAGTGGTGCATCCCTCACAACCCCACCATCCCCCTTATCCCCAAACGTCTCCAAGCCCTGCTGACTTTACCTCTGAAATACCTCATTTGTCAGTCCTCTCCCCAATCTATACCCACTGTCACTGCCGTAGTTCAAGCAAATCTTTCATCTGGATGTGTCAATAGAGTCCTAACTGGCCTTACTGTCTCTCCGTTCCTCTAATCCATCTGCCTCATGGCCCCAAGGGTAATTAATCTGTATATCTAATCATATCTTTTTCCACACTGAAAGCCCTTCATTGACTTTCCTTACCTGTGAGATAAATGCCGATGCCCTGTCCTGACATATCAGATTTTTCATAATCTGAGTCATCCTCCCCCTTTTCTCTGGCCTCATCACTTGCTGAATGACTTTAAATTCCCCAAACACAGTAGGCAATTTCATGTTTCCAAGATCTCTTTCTGGAAGAGTCTGATCCCTTGTCTTCTGGAAGGCTGGGTGTGGGGCACGTTACTTGTCTCCTTTTCTTTCACTCTTTTCTGGATTTGACTACCAGCCTCTATGATTTATGTAATCTGTCAGACGCTCTCTCATCCAGCCAGTGCCCACCCCTGACCCTCCTCTCCTGTTGTGCCTCATTCCTGATGACATCTTAGTGAGACATTAGCTCTCAGAGAACTTCAGAGATTTCATTTAAGGGAAATTATTAACTAGTATGTGGAGACACTGCACCTAAGTACTTCTTTTAAAATTATATTCATCATGAAGCATTTGTACTTATTTATCTTGTATAGAGCAAACCTAATGAATGTATTCATAGGTAATATAACTTATTTTTATAGGTAAAAATAGAAAAGCACAGTTGTAACAGTATTTTTTAAATCGGTCATGTTTTAGAAAAGACAAGGCACAGAGGCTATCCCACATCCTGGTGGCACCTCCAGCAGCTCACACAGAACAGGGATCTCAAATTCAAGGGTCTTGAAGAGCCACAGTTTCTTTCTTCCCCTTCTTTTTTCCCTTTATAGTCTTCTTTTTTTAAGCAATTTAGTTCCTCTTTTATTTTTAATTCCTTTGCTTTAATTACTATGCTGATTTTTTAATGATATAATTTTCTGTTATTTTTTCTGTACTTGCTCTGTAAATTGTAATGCACCTTAACACAATATACTTCAGGTTATTAATTCTGGTAAAATATAACAACTTTAGTATAGCTCCACTTCTTCTTTCTCATCTGTGCTACTGTATTCACATATATTACATCTATATATTATAAACCCAAAACATAGTTTTATAAGTATTGCTTTATAAAATCTCCTATCTTGTAAGGAAATTAACAGGAGAAAAGTAAGGAAATATATTTATATTTTATTTTATATTTATTCACATGTTTATCAGTTCTGGGGCTTTTTGTTTTTTCCTGTGGATTTTGGTTATCACTGGTATCATTTTCTTGTATTCTGAAGGATTTCTTTCAGTATTTCTTACAATGCAGTTCTGCTGTTCTCAATCCTTGTATTCTGGATGAGTTTTTGACATTCAGTTTTGAAGTATACTTTTGCAGGGTATAAAACTCTTGATTAACAATATTTTCTCCAGCACTTAGAATATGTCATTCCACTGCCTTCTGGCCTATATTATTTCCAGTGAAAATTTAGGAGTTAATTCTACTGTTGTCCCCCTATATGTGATGAATCATTTTTCTCCTGTAGCTTTTAAGATTTTCTCTTGGGCTTTGGTTTTCAACAGTTTGATTGTGTGCTTAGGTGTTTATCTCTTTGGGCTTATCCTACTTGGAGTTTATTGAATTTCTTTGATCAGTATATTAAATGTTCTTCACCAAGTTTGGGAAACTTTTGTCCATTCTTTCTTCAAATATATATATTCCTTTTATCTCCCTCTTCTCTCCTTCTGGGACTCCAAAATATGTCTTTTGGCATGTTTGATGCTGTGTTGCAGGTCTCTAAAGCTCTGCTCATTTTCCTTCTCTCTAATTTTTAGATTGGGTAATTTATATTGACCTATCTTCAAGCCAATTAATTCTTTCTTCTGACATCTCAAATCTGCTATGGATCAAATCCCATGGAGTGAATTTTTCATTTCAATAACTACACATTTCAATTCCAAAATTTCCATTCAAACTTTTTTAAAGTTTCTATTTACTTCTTAAAATTCTTTGTTGAATCATTATCATCATTTTTTCCTTCACATTTTAAAACATTTATGAAAGCTATTTTAGAGTCTTTGTTAGGTAGCATATCTAGGCCCACTTAGAGTTTGTTTATACTGACTGTTTTGTTTTGTTTTCCTTACAATGGGTCCCATACTGTTGAATACCAGATAGGAATAAATTGTAGCAACTCTGGTCAAGCCCTCACTTTACTCAGCCATGTCTATAGACTTACGACTGAGATGTTCAAGAAAGGAGAGGGTTAGAAGGAATAGGAAAGGGGAACAGGGAAGAGAGGAGACTTTACTTCTTTAAGCCTTAGCCTCCCACTTGTAAAACCAAAAAATAATAACTCTGTCACAGGTTGTTGTGAGGATGATATAAGATGATATATGATAGCATTTTATGAATTCAAAATCATCAGACATAATAAGAGTGATATTGACATTAAAATTATTTTGTCATTATTTTCTTCCTTCAATAGTCAGATAATTAACCTTAAATGTGATATGTAAAAATTTAGAACCAAGGACCTGAAAGAACTATATCCTTGAAAATGAGAAACCACAGGAAAAGAGAGAAAAGGAGGAAAGAAAAACACAAATAGAGAAAAAGAAGCTAAAGGAAAAGAGAGGAGGAAGAAACAGAAAAGAATAGTCTTCACACTTTGTCTCCCACTTGCTCCAGCAACATAACCCAAAAGTCATTACGAACATTCTTAACTTGTAGTGAAAGTTCTTAAGATCTCCCTGGGCCCTGTAATATATTTATTATGGTTCTATAAATAAGATCCCCCTGAGAGGCCCTAGCTGGTACCTGGCAGAGAAAGGAGAAACCACTGTCTTGCCTGCTGGGTAACAAGGAAGGTGGGGTCATGTCCAGAATATTGATTTACTCTGTACATGTCATGCCCTTTGCAGTCTGCTCCTGCTCTCTTATGGAGAGGCTGATACACCTGCTCCTCTGCTTTGCCTCGCCCTCGCCAGATTCCAGCAGCATCATATGGAAATGGGGGTAGCAGTAGAGGGACCAGGGATCCACGGAGATCCAAGATGAAACATAAACATCAGCCCCCCGATCCGTTAGGATGCTGCAGGATAGGGTCACTGTTGGGAGGTGAGGCAGGACAAGAAAGGTGCACTTCATGTGACTTGAGGTAGCTGCTTTTAGCTCGCAGTCTTGTCTTGGTAATGACTCCTAGCAACTACAAGCTCCTTTTAATTTTTGGCACCTTTACATTCATTATCTCAGTATTTGATCATGGATAGCATTCCCACAGATCCCCAGGTGCTCCCCAGTAATTTCATTTTGAGTATTTGAGTTTCTGTCTTTATACTCTAAAACAAATAATGCAAGTATACTTCATATAACTAGATAACCACTTATAAATGAATCTGGCCCATCATTTTGATGCCCAAGCTTACATCTGTGTGAATGATCACATATAAGAAATATTGTACTGATTGTTCTGAATTAATTAGATAAGAATAAATTATATTTAGTTACCAAACCAAAGCCAAATACTGTCACTCAAGAGAAAGAACTTTAAGACAGCATTGCAAGCATCAATTAATTTTCATTTAAAAAAATCCAGCCCATTCAGTTAATTTTATGTATTTGAGTGTTATTGGTTTTGTTATTTTGCCTGTATTCAATTTATAACTCTGATTTGCTTTTATAGAGATATGAGAAATATGAACATAATGAGTGTATGCCTACAGTTCCTACAATATTTCTGCCAGGTAGTCTGACTTTTACTTAGAAAGCAACAATGTCACATGCAAATGCAGGCAGGGACCTAACCACCCCAGCACAAAGCCTTTTCCACATAGTAATGGGATGGAGCCAAGAAGCCATAGAAAGACAGTCACGGGTGCAGTTTGAGTCACAATTCTGCCATTAGTAATAGATAAATAAAAATAGCTTTATTAAGGGCACTGTCCTAATGTATTCCTCACAACAACCTTATTACTATCCATTGGTTAAATAACTGGTTACTATTATCATCCACATTTGACATGTGAGGAAACTGAGGCACAGAAAGGGGAAGTGGCTTACCCAGGTTCTCATAATTACCTAGATAGTGGAGCTATCTGACCTGGGAGCAACTGTCTGATCTGAGAGTCTATGATTATGGCAGTCATGAGCACGTGCCCTCCGGGGCCCTGTAGTGCAGAGCACAACTGATGCGCGACCCGAGTGTTCACCACCCAGTGGCTGGAGAGCCAGAGACCCCCAAGCTAGGTCCATTCTTGAGAGACACAGGACTTTCCTGGTGCACCACTTTCACGCAAAGACCCAGCCCTAGCCCAGCCAAAACGTTCTTAGAAGCATGCTGTTGTCTGAGACTCTTACTATCCAGTTTCCTTCCTTTTCAGGGAAAACCACTTTCTAATCTCCAGACCCAGTGAACATGTTACCACATATGGGGAAAGGAACTTTGCAGTGTGATTATGTTAAAGGGTTTTGAGATGAGAGATTCTCCTGGATCATGACAACAGTTCCATACAATCAAACTCACAAGAGAGAAGCGGGAGGATCACAGAAGGGCCTGTAACAATATGAGCGGAGCCCAGAGTGACGCGATGTGGCTCTGCAGACGGAAGAGGACCGTGAACCGAGGAACGCAGGCCAAGTCCTGAAGCAGGAAAAGGCAAGAGATAAATTCTCCCCTG